CCAAAACCAACAACAAAAATGAAAGGAGGAAAAGGATTTCTTGAGCTTGAAATCAGTGGGAATACTAAGAAAATTCAATGGAAATATCTGTAAGATAAATAACACTAACTAAAGATCCAATTAGGGGAGTTTTTGTCAGAAATCATAGATTATGCTTATAAGTAATCAGCCCAAGAGCCGATGGGAAAGGTGGATGTGTTCAAAAGGGAGTGAAATAAATGCCTGCTGAGATGAAGTTAGTTTTCTAAGAGTGCTAGTTCTAATCTGAAACCTAAATAAGAAATCCCATGGGGTGCCTGGGCGGGTCAGTTGGTTAAGCATCTGCCTTCAGCTCAGGTCATGATCTCAGGGTCCTGGGATCGAGCCCCACATCGGGCTCCCTGCTCAGCGGGGAGTCTGCTTCTCCCTCTCCCTCTGCTCCTCTCCCTGCTCATGCTCTCTCAAATAAATAAATAAAACCTAAAAAAAAAAAGAAATCCCGTATACAGAAATCCCATTCCCAGAACCTCTGCATATTGTAGAAAGAATATCTGCCAATGTAACTGAGATGTGAAATGGAAAGATTACAGACATGATCTTCAATTCAAATATTCTATTCCATTGTTAGGCTTTGTTTAAGCCCTGGAAAATAGGCTCAGCTGGTCATGGACTGAGCAAAGAAAAGGACTGTCAGCATTTCATAGATCTCAGCTTAGTGATTAAGTATCAGATCTCCCATGGTGGCAAATTTCTATGATGTGAATCTATGTTGTACAGTAGTTCTAGGACACAGACAATCCTGATTCAAACAAAACTAAATTTAAAGAATGTTTCTATACTGAATTAGTCATTCCCTATAAGGTACCTTGTCTTCCACTGCTTAAAATGTCATCCACATAGTCTGAAAGGTGTAATCAAAGGTATTCTGCTTCTTACATAGAATTCAAAAATGAAGATTCCAAGTGTACGGAGTTGCACAGTTTAGCAGGTAAATTTGGTGCTGTGGTTCTGTTTTCACAAGTGTCAAGGCTGGATGAGATGGATACCATATAGGCTAGTAGTCACTCTAGAAAGCAGCTCAAAGGCTCAATAAACCAGCCATCTGAGGTATTTGCTTAATCCTTCAATCCTGACAGTTGGCAGGTGTGATTTACTGAGTAGATTAAGTACTTTGCTCTGCCTACTGCAATGAATAAAGACAGAAGTAATCTTTGCTCGCAGACTTTCCCCAGCATCACCAGACAAGTCACAGATCTCTCTTTCCCCACTAAATGGAACCTGTCTGAGGCCTGAGCAAAACAAAGATATAAATGCAGGATTTGGAACATGATTGTTCTGTGATGTTTTTATACTCAACACTGGTTTTTTACAGAATAAGTATTAACTCTCTCTGCTGGGCAGCATCTTGCTACATACGGCTTAGTCCCAAGGTCTCATTAAGAAAGGTGGTCAGCTGGGGTTTGCATTTCTGTGCTCCACCCAGGTCCAAATGCTACATTCCTAATGTTTGTTAACTTCTCAATCACCTTTTGTATTTTGGTATATGCTAGTTCTATAAATATATTATCTCCTATATTTAAGAGGCTTAGAATATACTTGTCATGTTAATTGTTCCTTCTTTTAATTTGAAAATGAGAAAATAAAGTTTATGTGCCACCTGGGGTACTTTCTATCTGTACAGACTTGATTCATTCAAATTATAGCTTGCCTTTTAGTCTTAACCTACAGAAACCAAGATATTATTCTTAAACCATAAGGAAAACATGAAAGGAAAAATGATACAAACTCAACGAAGATGCAAAGGAGAATTCAGACCTGTAGTCAATCAATTAGAAAGTAAATAAATGCATAAAGTCAAGAGTTTGAGAAAATAGAGGCCAAAAGACTACTAAGATAATATTATGGCTATGAAGAAAGCTGTTAATATAAAAAACAAGATTTAAACTATAAGAAAAATTATTTTTAAATATCTAGCTATGATTGACTTCAAAATGAAGGCATTTGGCTTGAAAAATGTGTGAGTCAGAGAGGAAAACTGATTCAATCTACAAAAGCTAGAAGACACTGAAACAGAAAGTTAACTATTGCTCAGACAGCCCCCTGGTTGGACTGGCAGAAGGCAGTCAAGGAGGGAGTAGCAGATTTCACTTTTAGACAGTGAAATCCAAGGCTTGAGTTTTCGCAAGGTGACAAAAATCATAGCTATTAACTTTACCCCAAAATACACTTCCACATTATAAATTTTAAAATGTTTAACTATGTTTCTAATCATCTCACTAAATTTAAATATTATAAATCTCATCTTTAAAAACTTAATCAGTTTTTGTTTTACAAAATATTTAATTTCAATATACCTTTATCAATTATAGTAACCAGTAATTTTCCAGAAGAAAAAATATCCTAAATAAAAATAGATGCAGGAACAATAAACTCAGAAGCTATACTTTTGAAAGATGACTGTTATACTTTCATTTATTATAAACACGTAATTTTTAAGTTTGTAACTATTAAATAACAAATTATCTCTTGATCTTAAAACTGTACATATCTATTTTCAATCTTTATTTTCTACTTAGATTTCATTCTATAATTCTTAAGTGCCAAAAATAGTAAGGAACCTAGTATGACAATCCAATAAAAAAAATGAAACTCCTAAACCAAAGCCGATACAGTTTATATGAGCAGCTCAGACTTTTTATAATCTTAAAAACTATTGAAGACTCCAAATGCTTTCATATGGGCTCTATCTATTCATATTTACTATAAGTCAAAACTGGAAACTAAAATATTAGGTAATTAAAAAATAAACCCACTATATGTTAACATAAATAACATATTTTATGAAAAATAACTATCTTTTCCTAAACAAAAATATTAGTGACAAAAGTGGGTCTGTTTTACATTTTTTCAAATTCTTTTAATGTATGACTTAATAAAAGAAAACTAAGGATCAGCTGCTACATTTAATCTGTTATAATGTGTTGTTTTGGTTGAAGGCTCTCTAGCCTCACATAGATACATAGTTGCAAAAGGGAATCTTTTATAGACTTTTCAGATAATTGCGGACATTCTCCTTTAATTCTACATTAAAACTCAGTAACTGATAATTTCTAAAAGGCTAACTGCTACATGGAAAATATAACCATATCAATGAACTTTTCATACTGTGTTTTATTAAAACCACTGGTTTGAATAAATCTTATACCCATGCAAGATTTTATAATTCCATGCATCAATCATTGGAATTATGAGTTTTGCAGGTTTACCAAATGCTAACACATTTCATTAAACAATTAAAAAATGCATTTGCTAATATCAACACCATTCTTATGAGAAAAGTCTATACGTACAGGAAAACTATTAGGCTTAAGATGGTGAATACAAGTTTTCCAAGATTCTAATTTTTACTTGAAAGTTTTAATTTTACCACTGGCAACCAATGCTGTCAGCTGTTTCCCTTGAATTAACAGGCTCACTTTGTTCATTTTTAAAGAAAATTCTACCAAATGCCTAAGTCTAAAAAATATAGTTTGTATGCTTTTCTTTTGAGTAAAAATAGTATTACGTGACAAAAGTGTCTAATTTAGCTTACAATTCAAACTACATGAGTACTTCTTCTTGAGACAACCATCATATTTCAGTATGCTGCAAATGCTTTATGCATAGTTTCCACTTTATTACTCAGGATATTAAAAAGATAGGCACTAAAAGTTTGAGATTTAATAAAATTAATAATGTTTACTGCACCATCATAGACATTTTTAAGAGGAACTAGCTTTTGGGAAGCCACACTCCGGATGCCCCACTCTGCTCTGCTCACTAGGCCCGCCAGCCTGCGCCCATCATGGCCACCATTCAGCAGCTGGTAGGAAGATGGCGCTTAGTGGAAAGCAAAGGCTTTCACGAATACATGAAGGAAGTAGGAGTGGGAATGGCTCTGCGAAAAGTGGGTGCAATGGCCAAACCAGATTGTATCATCTCTTCTGATGGTAAAAACCTCACCATAAAAACTGAGAGCACTTTGAAAACAACACAATTTTCATGTAACCTGGGAGAGAAGTTTGAAGAAACTACAGCTAATGGCAGAAAAACTCAGGCTGTATGCAACTTCACAGACAGTGCGTTGGTTCAACATCAGGAATGGGATGGGAAGGAAAGCACAATCACAAGAAAATTGGAAAATGGGAAATTAGTGGTGGAATGCGTCATGAATAATGTCACCTGTACTCAGGTCTATGAAAAAGTAAAAATTCCATCATCATTTTGGACAGGAATTAGCTGTGAGGATGAACAAGCTCAGTTCAATGAGCAAATCTCCATACTGCTTTTTTTTTCATTACTGTGTTCAATTATCTTTATCATAAACATTTTACATGCATCTATTTCAAAGTGTTGATTTAATTAGGATCATCCCTTTGGTTAGTAAATAAATTTGTGCTAAAAAAAAAAGAGGAACTAGCTTTTCTTTTTTCTTTTTCTTTCTTTCTTTTTTTTTTTTTTGACTGAGTGCACTGGGAAAAACTCAATGATTACTAGTAGTTAGATGCCACTGCCTTAATTCATGCTAAGGAACCAGCAATTTTGCCACCATTGTTTCTGTATCAGCAGTGCAAGTGTCAACATAGTGTAAAAGGCAAATAACATCGTGGTACTACATGAAAATACTTTTGACATTATGAACCCCCAGGGTTCTTCAGGACACTGAGAGCCACTGGTTTGGGTAACTCAAGAAATGTAGAAACTTCACAGAACAGGAAATATTTTATTGTGCTTCTCAAAAAAGAATTCATAGTGACTAGCTTCAAACCTTCTTGCTCTTCATAAGGCAACAAGGAAGATTCAAGAGCATTCTAAATAACTATATGCAACTAAAAAAAAATAGAAACCTATAAAAGATTTTAAACATGGTCAAGTGCTAAATCCCAACCAAGAAAAAAAATTGTATAGCAAAGAGCTCAGAATTTTCTATTTGAGTCAAAACTGCAGATTATACACATGGCATTTTATTAATTATGTCTTACCTTAGCTCTAGAGGAACTGACATTTTCCATATTTTCAATGCTGCAGATACAATTCTGTGAAACTTTCCGGCAAGCCACTCTGATATAGTCCCAGAAGCTACGAGGACTTTCATAACCAAACCAGGTTACTTGACCTTCAGGAGACAAATTGTAATACAAAATAAAAGAAAACTAGACTAGAAAATTCGAAATGCAAGAATAAAATTCTGAAAAATAAAAGATAGCCTAGTGTGCCATAGTGAAAAGGGCACTAACCCAAGTAGCAAAAAAGCTTTCAATCTAGTCCTGCTCTACCTTTAACTAGTTGTGCTACTGTGGACATTTATTTAATAGACCTGGATCATAGTTTTCTCAACAACAAAATCAAACAAATGAAAAGAAAAAGGGACCAGACACTAAAAAAAAAAAAACTCTTGCAGTTTAATAGTTTAATATTCTACTATTCTAAGGCAGTCTTTTAGATACCTCCCAGAAAACCCTTATGGTTCTAGTTAACCATTAATTCACATGTCAAAGGTTGCATTCTAAAGCTTTCTCTACTTAGAGAAACAGAAAAAATAATAACACACTTTTTCTCCTTTTCGTAAGGAAACTTCCAAGAAATGAAACAATGTTGTGGTCTATCTTCTAAGTAAACATGATGAATTAGAATGCTATGTTCACTGATCAAACATAATCTACCCAACATTCTCATCTAGAAAGCCAATAAAGTTCCTCTCTGTCATTCACCTGCTCTCTTCTAGTTGGCAACCCATGAAAAAGTCCTTCAGGCATTTACCATTATAATTTTTCAGATTCAGGTAATTATGTGTCTACTCATGAACAAATATTCTTTTGCGTGTTATCTTACAACAGTATTAATATTTCTATATGGGACTCTGAGTAGTGGTCCATGGGCACCATTTTGTACTCTGAGCATTTTTAAGTAGGATATAAGAGACACCTTAATTCTTTCTTTAGTATTCTGGAATGATTAGTCTTACCTAGGGAAGTTGTTTAATCTTAAAGTAGAAAGATCTGCTTTTACATTTTAAATCTGGGCTTCCTTAATTATTTATCTTAAATCTTCCTATCCCCAGTAATAGCTTCTCTGTAGCAACATCAAAAGTATTCTTGTCAACAAGCACCATTTTAGGAGTGATGTCTCAAGTGATAGTTCAGTGGTTTCCAACTACAGTGGCCTGTAACAATAACTGAGCTGATTTTTAAAAAATACCTATGCCTGGACTCCATCCCAAGGTAAATAATCAAAATCTTTAAGGGTGGGCCCAGGCATAGGTACTTTTTAAAAAGATCCCCTTGGTATTTCTAATAATGTATTTATGGTTAATTAACCAATAGAAATTGTACATATCATGATAGGTAACTCCTATTCATTATTCAGGACATTTTAAAGTCCTTTTCTTCTTGTAACCCACATATGATCTCTATAGCAGGTCAATCCCTCCCTATGTGCTGACATAGCACCCTATGCTTATCTATCCTTATAACTATTTACTTGATTATCTTACATTTTAAGTGGTATTATCAGTAAGGCAGGGATTGTGTCTTGTTTGACTTCAAATCAATCTCCAACACTTCATGCTTGGCTCATAGTAGGCATTCAGTAAATATTTGTTAAACAAATCAACCGGTAAATCAACACAAAATATCATCTTAATTGCAAGGCACATAAAATTTGAATTTTAAAAATCTATCTTGTTATAGTGACAGTTCAATGACAATCTGGTATTATGAAATGTGCATCCTAGATTACAAATGTCAAACATTCCAGACAAACATACCTTTGTCTTTATAAATAAAAATACAAAAGCTTCTCAAATCCTTATTCAACTCAATGTCCCTAAACTCAATGTTTCTTTAAAAATCAAATCTTACTACCTACAAATAAAAATATATAGGAATACTTATAATCTCCCTTCTTCCTCTCAATCTCTCCCTGTCACTTTCTTTTGCCCCCTCTGTTGTTTGAGTTAAAAAAGGTCCTGGTACAGTACCTTACTATAGTTTGTCTTTAGGACAATATTCATGTCATTAATTTGTTAGCCATTTGGAGAGGAGGCGGGATGTCTACTGGTTAAGAATATGAGATCTTGAGCAAATGAGTTAACTTCACTCTATCAATCAGGGTTTCTTCTATAAGTTGACAATAATGGCAGTACCTACCTGATAACACTGTTGAGAGAATTAGATGAGATAATCTATGTGCAATTAGTTTATAGCCTGGTACAAATGTTAACAATTATTACCACTATTATTGCTACTATCATACAAATAGTTAAGAGACCTAAGCTCCTCTGTACTGTAAACAAAGTGGGAATGGGATGCAAAATTAAAATTTCCCGCTTACTTGCTCAGAATCTAGAAGAATGCTTAAAATTTACTCCCTACTGCAACCTTTTCCCATATCAACCGTTTCAAATTTACCTCCCCAAGATATTTCTAGTCTCAACTAATTTTCTTTGGCTTCTATTAATTAAATCATTCCATAATTTAAAATGAGAGGTACAGCCAGACTTCCATCAAGAAAGGATCTTAAAAAAAGGGAACATCACAAGTTTTCTCTGTTGACTTTATTTTAAACCTTCTCATGAGTTTGACATGGTTAAGGAAAATAATTTATGAGAAGTTTTAAAATAAAGCTGTCAAAAAAAATCACAAAAGAATATAACAAGGCCCCATTTGGGAGGAGAGGAAACAAAGATATCAAAAAACAAAATCTAGGCTAAGGTTAACAGAGAAGGAATGGGCACTAAATCCTTGGGACTCCTGCTATGGGTAAGATATGCTGTCTATAAGACTTTCACCCAAGAGACCATGGCAAGATTTCCCAGATTACAAACTGAAAAACTGAACAATTAACAGAATAACATATCATCATAATTTGCAGGCCTTAAATAAATAAACCTGTAGTATCTTCACAACACTATTACCAACTTAGCAAACTAGATGTGAGGATGACTTGGCTTGATTATCTTCCTTCCTCTTCCATGTACATCATTTCCAAAGTGAAGTTCTGAATTAAAGACACTGAATTTTTCACATTCAGAAGAATCTGCTTTGATTAAGAGAAGATGTATTCCCTTGTTAGGCCTCCAAACAAACTTTCTTGTAAATCATATATCCTAGAATTTTATGTAAATAATTAAATAATTTCTGCATCTATGAAAGAGTTAAATTTAATTAAAAATAATGGAAGCATTCAACTGGTTACTTGAGATAGTATTTGAAGATCCTTTTTACTTAAGCACAGATTAATAGCAAAAGATGTACTTAGGCTATTAGTCTGTAATCACTATTCAACAGAAAAATTAAAAAAGCTAAAAGCTGATCGTGCCTTTTAAAATAACTATTGAAGCAATAAACAATGACTCCCCAAATATTTTCATTTCCTTTAAAAATAACTATAAAAGCAAATCACACAGCAAGGAAACAACTAGTCTATATCTTGAAGAAATTTTATTCTGGAGAAGAAATATCCTGTCACTAACAGAATTCTTTTAAAAGCTATTGATAGGTGTATAATATGCTTTCTGTTACACGTTTTCTTAGAAGTTAACTTTTACCACTGATGAAGTTAAACAACTTTTTCAAAACTTACTGACGTTCCATCAATCTCTCATTCATTTTAAGGCAAAGAAAGAAAAGTTTGCTGGACTAGGGGAGCCTGGGTGGCTCAGCGGGTTAAGCGTCTGCCTTCGGCTCAGGTCATGATCCCAGGATCCTGGGATCGAGCCCCCCATCGGGCTCCCTGCTCAGTGGGAAGCCTGCTTCTCCCTCTCCCACTCCCCCTGCTTGTGTTCCTTCTCTCGCTATGTCTCTCTCTGTCAAATAAATAAATAAAATCTTTAAAAAATAAAAAGTTTGCTGGACTAAAAGGTAATGTGCTACTGACCAGCTATGTGATATCTTTCCCACAAAACTGCCTTATTTTCAGCACCTAAAAATGGCCTGTGATCTCTAAGGTCCAAGGTTATTTTAAAATAACTCTTCTAAAAAAATTAAAAAATAAAATAAAATTACTCTTCTATATTTCTTAAGTTAGACGTCTGTTTACAACATGCAATGTATCTGTGTTTTGCTTATATGTTGGTTCACAGCTGGAATGAGACCTTCTAAGAACAAGGACTAAATTTCCTTTTTTTTAAAATTTTTTATTGTTATGTTAATTGCCATACATTACATCATTAGTTTTTGATGTAGTGCTGGGTGTTATGCACAAACAATGAATCATGGAACACTACATCAAGGACTAAATTTTCTAAAGTGGTTCTCTACTAAGTAGTGACTGACACATCATCTTTTGATAATATAAAATATAAATGAATCTGTTAAGTGACTTCCTTTCTCTACTCTTTGTATAAGTGCTTACCTATGTAAAGAGCAAATGAAAAACTCATCCCCCAAGCTGAAGTCTCATTAGTGTTACAATGCATCACCTAGATGACAGTATCAAAGACTATCACCTTGGAACTGCTACTCAACTAGACAAGCAATAAAAGATAGTCCCATCGAATTTTAATTAACCATTCTGATATCACTGTAAAAGTTTTCAGATACTTAAAGGAAAATGGTTACAAGTGGATTCATTGTTGCCAATATATTAGTATTTAGATGAATTCAACTTTTCACTTTTCACTTTAAATTTTCTAACAGCAATCTTGAATTTCTTACTGCTAATTTGTAAAAGTCAGTTTAATATTTTCTATTTTATTTTTGCTAAGCAGAGAAAACTCCCATTTCTGCAAGAGGACAGAGTCTTTTCCTTTTTTAAAAGAAACTACTATTTTTAGTTAAGGTTCATATTTATTAGACTACCAAGCTTTGAAAGTAAAATAATGACCTTGATTAATTTTCTAAATAAAATTTCATATTAATATTCTAAAAAAGGAATTTAAATACTTTAAAAATAACTAATTACATATTAAGCTGAATCTTAATAAGTATGAGTCTAGATTAGATACTCAGTTGTACTTCTATTGCTAGCTCTGTATGTTACCTACAGGACATCTCAAGTAAATCATTTAACAACTATGAAGCACAGTTACTAATTTACAAAACATAATTATTATTCTTTGTTACTGACAACGTCTTGTTCACTGGTAAGGAATTTATCGCAAATATCTATAATATGTATCTAATACCATAAAAATGAGTCAATTTGTAATCTTTCAAGACAAAAAAAAATCAAGATAACCAGGTTCACCGAAAATCTGAAAATTGAATTTGACTTAAACTTTTTAGCCCAGTAATTTTACCATCTTTGTCTTCTACCAGCTTTTTAACAAAAGGCTTAGAATACCAGCAGACTGAATTAGAGTTCCAAAGGCTGAACTCCATACAGAGAGCAACACATAAATGTGAGCCCTGAAGAAATCAAGCATAATCTGTTTCCGTAGTGATTAAGGCTATACATAGAGGACAGAAAACAAACGAAACTGTTTAAAATGATTACTTGTGGGAATGAGGGTTGAGGAAAAGAGGCTTGTTTTCTACTTTCCATCTTTTGCCTTATTGTAATCCTTAGAAATATGACTATATATTTCTTTTCTAATTAAAAAATATAATAAAAGGCTAGTCCATTAAGTACAGAGCCTAGCAGTATTTTGCAGACAATAGGAATTCAATTAAAAAGTTTTGAGTAAGTGAATAAAGGCATGCATTCTACCTGGGAGAAAGGAAACTAAGGAATATATTCCCACTAATGACTCCAGAATGGCAAAGCAGTTATTGATACTGCCCATGAATGTTTCATTGAGTAACTTTGGAAAAATCACACATCTTCCCTAAGCCCCCAGTTTGCATGTAATACAAATATTATTACACAGCACTTACAAAATTGAGGAGATAACTAATAATTCTTATATTGTTAAGAGTTACAATAAAATGTAATTGCACAGATACACATGATTAATAAAAGTGATTAAAACCATGGGAACTTAAAGAAATACGGAGGGGGTCACATGAGAAAAGAAGGAGAGTAAATGGATTATTATATTGTGTGGGTTTACAACAAGATTTTAATTTAAAAGTTAGCATAAGCATATTTGTGCCCTCTGGATTAACAAAAGCAAAAAAAAAAAAAAAAAAAAAGCTTTGCAAAACCCATGCAATGTACTAAAAGAGATCACTTAACTGATACAGCCCTCCCCAGTAAGTCAATTCCATGCTCCCGCGCAGCTCAGTGGCGGGAGACATCACCAGCATAGAGTACCTTGAAGAGGTATTTGGAGATGAGCCAGCCATCTGCAACTTTGGGATATCTCTTTAAAAAAAATAAACAACAACAACAACATACAGATATTTAAGAAACCTGCCATCAAGTTTACAATTGCAAACTGAATAGCCCAAATAAGATGGCTACACATTATCTGGATGCAATAAACACTACATTTACCTAATAAAATGAACTCAGTTAAGATGAATATGAGGTATACTCAGCACGTAAATCAAACTGGTCCCTTGTCACCTATTCTACTGGAGAAGGGAGGGTATCTGTAAGTCACAGAAACAGGCTCCCTGTTTGCTTTCAGGGCCATCATTCTTTCCCAAGCATGATAGGCTGATGATGACAGGGCAAAAGGAGCAAAAGCTTGACTGAATTTGCTAGCTTTGCACCTCAGAGTTTATAAGATTTGTTAGGAAATTATTATTAAACTATATGTCTTATAAAGTTTCAACTTTAAAAATGCATTTATTTTACTGTTAACTTTTCTAAAAGTTATAAGAAAATTCATTTTGAAGAACAGCTCTTATTTTTTGGGCCTAAGAAGAGTTAAAATTTTTGTTTTTTTCTTTTGTGAATTGAGAACAGCACTTAGATATCAAGTAGAATGTTCTTCAGTTTAACCAATGTTGACTGAATGCCGACTTCATGCAAAATACTGTTTTATTTCCTACAGCTTCCAATTATTGTTTAACAACCACATCTGGAAAAGTACTGTAAATCCTTGCTATGTTGTTTGGAAATTCCTAGTATAATTATACAGGAAAACTCCAAAGCCAAATTTCTAAAGTCGCATTCCCCAAAAATGATCTTTTCTTCTCTCATAACCAAACACTGAAATCTCCAACAGGACATGGTCCCATATACCTTGCCAATTATTTATACCCTTTCTGAAACCAAACAAAACCAGTAGCACACACAGTCGGTAATGTATGAAAATGAAAGGAAGAAGATGTAGATAGTTTGTGCTATTGGCTACATCTATGTGTTGACCATTCACTCTCTATCCTCCTACTTCAATGTATAACATTTTTAATGACTATTAAATTTAGAAACACATATCCAAAAGGAACTATAATTTGGTATTCTAATTGAACCCACATTAGAAGATCATGTTGTTGCTACAACTACTACAAAAATGAAAATTTCTCAGCATTGAGATGCAAATCAGAATAGAGTGCTTTTCATTGCAAATATTAAGACAATTCTAAATGTTTAAACCACGTTTACTATCTTTGCCCTGACAACAAAATTATGTAGCTTATTTGCAGTCATTAACATAACCAAAAAAGTTATCAGAGTAAAAACAATGTCCACAAAAATCTTACTTAAAAGAATTTTACTTCGTAAGTCGGAGGGGGAGACGAACCATGAGACGATGGACTCTGAAAAACAAACTGAGGGTTCTAGAGGGGAGGGGGGTGGGGGGATGGGTTAGCCTGGTGATGGGTATTAAAGAGGGCATGTTCTGCGTGGAGCACTGGGTGTTATGTACAAACAATGAATCATGGAACACTACATCAAAAACTAATGATGTATGGTGATTAACATAACAATAAAAAAAGAAAAGAAAAGAATTTTACTTCAAAAAATGTATTAAATAGGGGGCACCTGGGTGGCTCAGATGATTAAGCATCTGCCTTCTGCTCAGGTCATGATCCCAGGATTCTGGGATCGAGCTCCCTGCTCTGCGGGGAGCCTGCTTCTCCCTCTCCCTCTGCCTGCCTCTCTCTGTCAAATAAATAAAATCTTTTAAAAAATGTATTAAATAAGATATATCATGTCCAGATTTATGTCATGACTTAATCAATCCCTAGTATAAAGTGAGAAACAATTACTAACTCTATTATAAATTACAATTTATAGATTAGTATTTTTTTAAAGCTGTTAGTATGTTAGCCTTTATGTCTTCATTATGCAAATGATTTTTATTTTGGCTGTAAAATACCACATGAAAATTTAAAAAAATTAAAATGCTTTCACTTATTTGTAGGCCTTAATTACTTTAATCATAATTTAGTATCTTACTCTACATCAGTTATAAGGAACCAGGAGCATCCAGACTAAGTAACAATCCACTAGATTCCAAATTATCTGTAATTAAATTTCAACAACTCTTTCATTTTATAGATGAGAAAGCAGAAGGCCAGAGAGAGCATGCCTATACCATCTCTGTTTGCCGTCACCTCATGCTATCTACTTGTGAGACAAGATTTGACAGGAGGAGAATCAGTCAATTGGTTTTCCTGGTTGGTTATGAGTTCTCACTGACAGCCTCAGAAATAAGAAAAACAAAACAAAAAAATGAGCAGTAAACTTATAGTGTGACTGGGGTGAATTTTTTTGATATAAAATTTAAATTCTTAGCATAGTTGCTGCCAAAAAAAGTAAATGAATAAGTGAACTACAAAGCTCACATTATTTCAGAGTGGCCCAAGGAATTATTTGGAGAAAAGGGTCTCATTTGCAACTGAAATAAAACCCGTTGTTATAAAATATATTAATGTTAAGAGAAACAGTATTTTACCATTAAGCAGAGCAGAAAAACAGTTTCAACAAAACTAAGTATACCAAAGTGTTTTGTTAAAAAGCAAAATTCATTCAAATGTACCATTACAATCATATCATATATAGTTATAGTAGGTGTTAATTTCTGAAATTTTAGTCAAAAGAATCTACTCAGAAATGGATACAATAAAAGAATGTTTAATCATAATAAAGATACAGTATTTTCTGACCCCAAATGAACTTTCAAAAACAACTGAAAATAAATCCAACTATAATCTTTTTATTAATGTGGAAATTGGCCTTCATCCAGAAAAGATCACTGACCACAAATAAATCTGCCTTGGTGATAAGACTGAATATAATTCTAGTTCATGAATATGCCATTTATTCTGCCATTTTTTTCATGTTAGTTCTTGTTCCAACTTTAGCTTTCTATTCATTTTGACTTCTTTGATGACTAAGCTACATTATCATGATTGATATAATTTGATAAATGCAGAAGGTGAACATCTGCCTTTGCTATATTCTAATTTTTTCTCTTTCTCTGTGTATGTATTTTTCTAATAAAGTTACAGGGAGATGACTTTATTTTTAAATGATCCAAGATGGATTCTAAAATAAGATCCTTAAATGGATTTGTAAATTGCCATTTGAAAGGCAAATAACAAAACTGATTATAAATTATCAGATAGTAATTCAGAATTTTCACAAGTTTTTTTTAATTGGCAATACCAAATAGAATATACTTTATTTTGTCACTGATAATATTCATGTAAGTTCTTATTGTTTGAAATTTTGGATCTTGAAGCCATGTATATATATGTAGGAGAAAAATCATTCAGTGAAGCAATATTTACAACTGTAGTATGTATTGTATTCAGCTAACAATGAAACAATATTATCTTTTCTATGTGGTAATTTTTCATCTCTTAAGATTCTGAAATTAAATTGTACCATCATATAAAACTTATCTTAAGCTTTCAAAAGACTGCTTTAAAATGACATTTATAGGTAGATGGTAGATACATTAGAAACAAAAGTATTTGTTCACTGATTCAACAATTTTTAAAACCTGAGTATCAAAAACATGAAAATATTTTTCCTTTAAAAATAAAAATATGTTTCCTTTAAAAGTAATAGTGACTTTAAAGGAAACACATGTAGGAAGAATTTTAATAAAATATTAGGTTATATGAATGAACTCTTGAAATTAGAAAATCAGAAAGACGTAGTAAGTGAAATTATGATGCCCTCCAAAAATGAACTAAAGTTCATTAAACTGTGCAATCTCTTCCTTGTTCTATAAGAATGAGAAATATTTGAGCATTAAAAAATGCTGAATTTACATAACAAAAAATTTAATGAGACAGCAACTTTCCATTACTGAAAATAAAAAAAATACAATTTAATAATTATAAGTACTGTAAGATGCTCTGTGCTAATTCCACAAAAATCATCAGGTCAAACTGGAAATGTCCAATTATTTTTCTGGCAGAAATGCAAAGGGCTACAAACACAGATAAATAAACATAAGAAAGAACTACCATCAGAGACCATCAATTCCTCCTAAATCCAAGAATCTGTATGACCTGGTAGAATCATAAATTTCTTTACCTCTCTTATATATTAAAAAAAAATTTCAAAAATATCTGAGGCACGGTTATCAATGGTAAATATTATTTAAGTATTTTAAAAATATTTTCTTCTAGGTGGTATGCCCATTCAGAAATCAAATCTAGATTAGATTCCTTAATTTGAAAGGATTTGAGAAGTGAAGTTCATGTAAAATAAATCTAAAAATACTCCAGAAATAACAAAGTTGAAAACCACTAGTAAATCTCTCATTCTGTAAATAAATAAATATTTAAATTAGGGGATTGAAATGACTCCTTGAAAATTCTAGTTTGGTTATAAAACATAAAGACCATATATCCAAATAAGTACAAATACTGAAGATATTTTTCTTGTTCTTCACCCAGAAATGCTTACAGCAAATACCATAATTAAGAGTACTACTACAATCCTATGACTCCAAACAGAAGCAAGTACTTAAGTATGTGGAGATTGTGTTTTAGAATTTTAAACATGCACAAAATTATGTAAGATCTTATAAAACTAAGACAGGAAAAATACTTCAGATGTTTCAAAACAAATAATAAACTCTCAAGTGAAAAATGATAAGCATAAAATGAAATAATAAAATACCAATAGAAATCATGTAGAAAGACCAATATCAAGGAGAAAAAAAGAACCATTATTGATCAAAATGGGCAACATAAAAGCTAGTTCTATGTGATATAAATAGTTTTTTTCTATTTGAGGGTAATTAAGAAAACTCCCTCCACAAAATAAATAGGCAAAGGTCATAATCAGGAAATGACAAAAAAAAAATTTTTAATAAACATGAATATATCCTCAATCTCATTTGTATATACATGCAAATTAAAGTAACAGAACATTTTATGTATTTCATATTAATAGAAGGCCAAAAAGATATTTTCCCCTATCAAATTAAAATTTTTTCATATTAG